AAGTTGAAAATAGATTTCGTTACTTATAAATTTCGTTAGTCAGTCGCAGGTGATTTGTACTGTTGTCTAGTTATCCAATCGGAACACGATGACTTGATTGACATTTGACCTAGGATTTTTACTTCGCACATGTTGTGGTAGACTCGAAAAAATAACTCAATGAAAGAAGGAAAAATTCAGTTGGAAATCTGTTGGAAACTAGGGCGGAAAGTCTTGAATTTGTACGGAGATCATCAAGAATAAAGTCTTGTGGAAATCTAGAGGAGTTATTCTTTCCTTTATTACACAGATTTTTGATAATGGAAAAGGTACTGATGCCGACAGTTTTACACAGAAACAAAAAAATGAAAATTGAAATGATACCGACGTGAAAAAAGAAGAATGAAAGCTAAGGGAAAAAATTGAAAATTAAAAAAGAAGATTGTTGAGAAACATGTCCCTGGAACTTCAAATTCAAAACTTTCCCCATCCTGTTAAATTTCCATTCTGTCGTCTTTGATTTTTACGAATACAAAAATGTCTCTTACCATTACGCATGTTGGTCACGGAAGTTGACGTTGTAACAGGCGTACTTGTAATGTGCGCATGAGCACTTGACAAATTGGTTGCATTGTGAGTTGTTGAGGTTAATGCTACTTTGGCTGTAGGGAACGCTATTATTGTCGCCATCGGTGGTCCTGTGTTGTACGGCCCTCCACCAGACGTTTTAGTACTATATTCAACCATTATGGATGGTGTGGCATTAGTTGTTGTTACTTTGGTGGCAATATATGTTGCTGATGTGACGTGGTGTTTTGTCATAGGTTTTGTCATAGGTTGTGTCATTATCGGCTCCGTCAGGGACGCATTTACCGCTGTATTTGTAGTTGTTGTTACTTTGGTGGCAATATATGTTGCTGATGTGACGTGGTGTTTTGTCATAGGTTTTGTCATCGGTTGTGTCATTATCGCCTCCGTCAGGGACGCATACACTGCTGTGTTTGACCCGATTACTGATGTACCATGTGCATGTTGCATGCAACATATTAAAAATAATGCAAACTTCAGGCGGTGAGGGAAAGTCATCTGTCTAAGCGAAAGCAAAGAGAATTGCACTTAGCTGATGATAAAAAAATGCAAAGATTAACTATTTCATATCATGACCAAGAGGCATTTTTTTGCGAGTGGATGTGAGTAGGAAGTTGTGAGTTTTACCAACACAGAAAGAATTGCAAGCGTCTTATAAATTCTCAATAAGCTTGTCTGATGAAATAAATTCTGGTGACGTCAGCCCTAAGGAAGAATTTGTCTTGCGTAATAAGGCTCAACCTGGCATTAGGTTAATTTCATATTTAACAATTATAAAAAGTGTAGCGGACAATTGAAATAGCTGGGAAAAAGCTGCACTAAGAACCTCCAAGAGTTGCTGCTGGGAGTGCCTATAGATACACCAAATCATTTATTTTGTTTGAATCACGCCATGAATCTTCAATTCATTTCGGATCATGTATTACTTAGTTCTAATTAACCGAGCGAGAAGTCTGTATGGGAGAATCTTGACCGAGATCGCCAGTACAG